GGAATGAAAACAGAGATCGCATTACTTATGAATTTATATCTGATGTACAATACATCAATTTTATAATTTAAGACGGTATTCACCAAATTACTATGTGACTCAAATGTTCACCAATCACGGAAAATTTGCATGCTATCTTGCCAGGTTTACTGGTAGGACTTCGAACGAATGCCCTACATGCCATATTATTGATGGATTGAAACATTATTTGTTCGACTGCGTTCTGTTTGAAAGAGTGAAAGTGGAATTAAGATTAACATTAGAGGAGATTGGTGTGGATTGGCCATGCCGATTATCTGACATTATGAGAGACAAGAATTTATATAATGTATTCTTACGATTTGCTAAACAAACCAACTTATTTATAATTAGATTAATTGTATTTATTGCTTCTATTTTGATAATGCACTGTATTTAAAAGTGTGATTTTGCATTTGACAGTTAATTCGGAGGGTTAGCAACTATGACTTTGTCTATTTCTTGATATATTTTATTAAATTACTATCCACCTCTGATTTATCTTGTTCTGGAGATCACTTTTATTCATTTCTTTGTGGTGGCTACATATGTATACGTGGGATGCTCATTGCTTTATACGCTTGAGCCTGGCATTATTTCTGGTTTACTTAACTATTGGGAAGTGTCTATGACTGATTGACTAGTTGTGATGTACTTATGAGTTGCCACAACTGAATGTAGACCGAGTTATCCATTGCCTTTGTGACTGTTTTGAAATTCTATATTTTATCGACTTGTACATTATGACATTTAACCCCTATTGAAAATACCAATGTCTGTATTTCAACTTTGGGCATTATGACATTAATCCACTATGAGAAATAACGATGTTTAAGTTCTGGCAGTATGTCTTCAACAGTTTGCTTACAGTACACGCTGTGATAATGTAGAACCTTCATTAATCTGAGACTTTGACTGAGTTGAGCTCTACAGTCTCTGCCCATTCAAGCGGACTTATATGGGACATAACTTTGTAGTGGTGACTCTGCTGTGCTGCTTACAATAATTTTAATATGCCTCTTTAATGTGCTTGTTCTCAGCTTGCTTGAACGAAATTCATTGTGCTCTAACCGTCTCTTGTGAAAAACATACTTCTGAGAATTTCAATGTGTGGAATGTAACCACCATACTCCTATCGGCTTTTAATTGCTTCAAGGTCCTTCGTTGGAGCTTCAATGTGTTTCCATGCTTGGTTAATACTTCAGTGTGTTTAAAGTGTTTTGTAGTGCTTAAATGTGCATTCCTAATGCTTCAAAGTGCTTTTCATCAATAGTGTGTCACAATGTTTGAACCATGCAGTGTTTTAAAAGTGTTTCTGCCTGCTTATATGTGCTTCTGGTACTTTTGTGACGAATGGTGCAAGTAGTGTTTTATGGTGCTACAAGTGCAAAGTGCTTCATGTGTTTTGGTGCTTTAACGTGCAACGTGCTTAATGTTTTAATGTTTAATATGTTTTATAGTGCTTAGTTTTTTATGGTGTCTCTAGTGTTTTATGGTGCTTCTAATGCTTTATAGTGCTTTAACGTGTAACCTGCTTATGGTGCTTCTATTGCTTTATGGTGCTTCAAAATGTGCTTTACAGTGCAATGTGATTAAGTATGTTTAGTGCTTTGATTTGTTGTGTGGTGCTATAAATATTTCACGGTGCTTCTAGTGTTTTATGTTGCTACATGTGCAATATGCTACAACGAGTACTAGAATGTACTCGCTGGAGTACTACGGTGTTCCAAAGTTCAATGTGCAACGTGTAAGTGTTTTATGGTGCTTCAAAGTGCAAATGCAACTTGTAAAGTGGTTTATGGTCCTTCAAAGCGCATTGTGAAGTGGGCTTTATGTACCTAAGAGCTCTAATTCATTCAATGTGCTCTAAAGCAGTGAAATTCACCTACTCTTACTTCGCTGGGCTTTCAATTTATATGTAGTTCAGCTATGTTTTCTTTGTGCTTAGATGATCTGCACAACAGCAGCATAATCGACATACCTTAACCTTCGCTGGGCATTCGGCTTATTGATGGCTCAACCTTGTTTCTTTTCAATAAATCTACACATATATCTTCAAACTGTTTATAGATGTTTGTAGTAACTTTCAAACCACTAACTTTTATAAGGACTGTTCTGAACACTGATTTTATTGGGTCCAAGTGATATTCACNAGGTATTACATAGAGGAATTATTCAAGAATTTGATTCGCCTTATGCGTTACTAAAGGATGTAAATGGTACTTTTTATAATTTTGTAAAGAACACTGGAAAGACTTCAATGAATGAACTTTATAATATTGCCAAAAATAAATTCTATGATCGGCAAATTATATTAAATACAAAATTATAAGTGAATGGATGCTTACTATACAAATTATTTCTTGTAAGTTCTGGATTAATAGATCTCTTTTAAATCTTTCTTCTTACAAACATGTCTTCAACCATCTGTTTCATGTAAGAATTTATATTGCTGAAATCTCAAATTTACAATTTTTTACTGTAACATTGATAAGAAAATGTTGTTAAATTTATGATTAATCATTTTTGAATCGAAAATATTGAGGATGTCCAATATAAAGGTTTGGATAAAAAATGTCCAATGATCGAAATCTTTCTGAAAAACATAACATTTGTTTATGTGATAAAAGTTAGTGGTCACAAGTGAATTAAAATATGTTAATCTTTTGCTGCTCAGTTAACATTTATATGATGTTTTTGAAAATTATTTACAATTGTAGAATAGCATTTTAAAAACTTTCAAGGTATATTGGGGAATAATATGCTTAATTAATAATGTCTGAACCACGNGCTATGTTTCCTTTGTGCTTAGATGATCTGCACAACAGCAGCATAATCGACATACCTTAACCTTCGCTGGGCATTCGGCTTATTGATGGCTCAACCTTGTTTCTTTTCAATAAATCTACACATATATCTTCAAACTGTTTATAGATGTTTGTAGTAACTTTCAAACCACTAACTTTTATAAGGACTGTTCTGAACACTGATTTTATTGGGTCCAAGTGATATTCACTGACACATAAAGTTCTGCTTAGAACTAAAGACTTTAAAGTACACATCTGCAATGTACTCCAAGAGCTCTTCTGCACAGCTATGAACTACTAAACATTAATTAATTTATTTATTTATTTTCTTATGTTTATCTGAACATTATAATTCGTTTTGATAATTTTATTTATCCTAATATACGTCATAAGCGTATTTATAATATAACTTATTTACTCATATTGTTTATTACTATTTATTAGTATTGTTTTCAACAGTTTGAGTTAAAACTAGTTTTAACTCAAATTCATTTTTGACTAGCAGTAAATTCTAGTTTTTACTAGACAAAACGGATTTTAACAAAGACATCAAGTATAAACTAGTTTCAACTAGACAAAACGGGTTTTAACAAAGACAATTAGTATAAACCAGTTTCAACTAGTAAAAACGCGTTATAACTAACAACGGGTTTTGACTGTAACATATATATATAAATGGACGTGTGTATCGCTATATGTCACTTTTTAGCAAAAACTACACATCGCACATGAATGGTGTTTGTATATGGTAGTAGCCCCAATTCTCCATTCGTGCACTATGGTGGTTGTGTCTCGATAGCTATAAGGGGTTCGGGAGATATGGGCTTGAAAATAATTAAAAGTGGAAGATTTTCTATTTCGATTTTAAAAATTTAGAATTTTTTAAAATCGAAATACAAATTCGAATTTGTATTCGAATTTAAATTCGAATTGGTTCGATTATAGAATGATTGTAAACGTTCCAGAAAATTGATCAAATTGAGAATAGTTCGTTTGACTGGACGTAAAAATTTTCTAATTAATCTGGAAACGGGGGACCTAATTCTTGCATTCTGTGAAAATGGGTAAGATTGGCTATAATGTAATTATCTTAATCTTCACTATCGTTAATTTTTGCCTACAAATAAAAACCCATCGAAGCGGGTCCTTGCAGCTAATGTAATTATATAAATCTTCGCTATTGTTACTTTTTGCCCGAGCAACACCGGGCTTATATACATATATATATAAAACTATATTTCATATAAATGTACGAACAAATAAAAACCCAACGAAGCGGGTAGTTGCAGCTAATAAATAAATAAATATAAATAAATAAATAAATAAAAGTAAAATTTTTGGTGTCTTGCTTGTTGTCTCTATCAGTCTGTTTGTCTCATCTAGTTCGTCATTGTGTTCGTTTCTTTTTCGCACTCTATGTCTAGCTGTTAAATAGTATTAATTAAGATTAAGTTAGATAGTTTATTTCTCTCCGCGTGATAGGTCTAGAATATATAATTTGTAATCCTATTAATTGTATTATTATGTCGTTTGATTCAATTAAATTAATTTGTTTATAACATGGTCTCATTAATGACTAAATCCAATGCCTTCGTATACTCCACTTACTCGCGACTCTCTTACTCGAAATTCCTTACAAATGCGTGATAGTCTGCAACTTGGGCATCTGGTGTCGTGAAAAACCAATGTCCTACAGTTCACAAGAGTCTCTGGTCATAATAAACGTCTTAGGAAGCCATCCGTAGACAATCGCGGGCCTGTTTCTCCAACAGCACAGCCGATTAAGCAGTACATGAGTTTTACCAACACCGTATCCCCGGTTAGCCCCTGACATTTATATTTAAGAGAATTTTATAAATCTAAATTTAGGCTAATAAACGAGTTAATTGGGTCCTGTCTGTTTTTCGGATCAACTTGGCTAGATTCATTCATAGAAAGAGAATAAACATAGGGCATTATATTTATAATTTAAAGTTAAACGATTTCGTACGANATTTTGGTATTTAGATTTAATGTTATCCGGTTACTGTTGTTTGTTTATATTTATTTATAACTTATAACATGCGCAAAATAAGAAAGAAAATAATATTAGTCACAAGTATTCACAATTTATAATTACAAAGATCAGCACACGTACACACCTATTCGTTCGAGAATCGTTGCACACATCTGAAAGTCTGACCCTGCCTATCCTTCTTTTTAATGACTAAATCCAATGTCTTCGTCTACTCCACTTACTCGCGACTCTCTTACTTGAAATTCCTCACAAATGCGTGATAGTCTGCAACTTGGGCATCTGGTGTCAGGAAAAACCAATGTCCTTACAGTTCACAAGAATCTCTGGTCATAATAAACGTCTTAGGAAGCTATCCGTAGACAACCGCGGGCCTGTTTCTTCAACAGCACAGCCGATTAAGCGGTACATGAGTTTTACCAACACCGTATCCCCGGCTAGCCCCTGACATTTATATTTAAGAGAGTTTTATAAATCTAAATTTAGGCTAATAAACAAGTTAATTGGGTCCTGTCTGTCTTTCGGATCAACTTGGCTAGATTCATTCATAGAAGGAAAATAAACATAGGGCATTATATTTTATAATTTAAAGTTAAACGATTTCGTACGAAAAATATTCATAATACTTCTGTATTCTGTAAACTGTATATCACATAATAAAGATATTTTAGATGAAGGTATTACATTTTATTTCGTTTAATTGCAATTAAGAAGAGTAATAATATTTTTGTTGTTGGACAATGAAAAGACGTTGCCATTATTTTTTGTCGCATGGTTTATCATCAAGGGGCCAAGTCGGTGTACTTTCGGGCAAACCTTCGCACCAACAGTTAGAATATTGGCAAAAGCCGTAACTACCTCCTTGGTTCTTCGCTTTGCATTCCTTATCGCAGTAAACGCTTTCTCCCGTTTTCGGGCAACTGTATCTGCAGCCCGTGCTCTTGTTCACCATATAACCTTCCTTTGCGCACACTGTTCCTGCGACAAATACAAAGAAATAGTCTTGTTCAATTGTAAGAAATAACACCTATTAATACAATAAAATTAAAATATTTTATGCTTTGCACTGAAAATGTGTCAAAAAAGTACATAATTATTGTATCACATAAACTATAAAAACTGAAAACAGTCCTGATTATAAATATGCTATTTTAAACACTAGAAACATGATGTGTCATTCGTAAGTTTGTATTTAATAAATATAGAATTTATGCCATTTCGAACAATTTAATACAAATTGTTCCAATTCCTAGAACACAAGAATGAGTTTATCTGAAGTTCTATAATTATTCAACGAAATATTTCTGTAAATATGAATTTCGATTTAAGTCATAGGCTATGTGAAAGAACAAGTTATCTGCGAATATTTTCATTTGCACAAAAAAACAAAAAAAAAAATACAATATATTGTAATAAATATAACGCGAATTTCATAACTTGTTAATAATTTATAACGATTCTAAATTATGCCATTTATAAAATTAACAACCAATTTAATCAATTATAAGTTCATACTCACCGATCAGGACCAAACAAGCAGCGATCATCAACAACGAGTTCATCTTCGAAGCTATCTAAACGAGTTTAGAATGAGTCACCATGAGCAGAAGTCGATATTTATACATATCCAATGATACAGGTACAACGCGTACACGTGGATTCTGCATGCTCGATCCATCTGTTTTCACCAATTATAACAACATTAACGAGCCATTAAACAGAGAGGTCACATTTTTCAAATTTCTCTATTTGGAGAAGGAATTAAATTCGTATTGATTACAGAAATGTTTATGTGAAATATAAATGAATACAGAAATGTCCTTAAATTTTTAAAAATAAAAATTAGGCCTACTTATTTTATTTTAAGTCGAACAAGTTCTTGGAACACTTCACGATCATTTAGATATTTCATGTTTAGAGGCATGTAATAATATCTTGTGATTTTTTCGTTTAATCGAGACCACTAACCTATCCTCTGTCAAGGATTTTTTCAAAGTCTGCATACATGAAATATTTCACGTAATTATTGACAAAGATTCTTGAAAAAAAATCAATTTGCGATTTCTAATCGAAATGGAACTTTATTACAATGAAAGTGAAGATTTAAACTTTGAATTTCTTCCTGTAAAAACTTCAAAATTCTTTACTGTCTTGCAGTTTTATGTAGAACTATCTGTTACCCGCGACTTCGCCCGCAAAGGTTTTGCAAGCAAACCCCATTTATATTCAGTATTTCAACAACCATAGTAATTGTTATATAACACCTATCGCTGAGAATGATGAGAATTGCTGAGAATCAAACAAACTATTTTGAATTTGATCAATTTTCTGGAACGTTTACAATCGTTCTATAACTTAAAAAGGTTCGAACATTTGGTTAAAAAATCGAAAAATATAAAAATATTTATAGCAATGTCTGAAATGTTATTAAATTAATACACTTAAGTACTTAATAAAGATGAAACGTAACAAAAAATCGCATCTAAATTAGTACAGCATAAGCCGTTTTTCCGGTTAAAACTTAATCCTCTCTCCTCCACGCGGGGGAATTTCGATAAATCCCTTCTTAGTGTGCATTCCCATGGTATACCATACTAAAACGCAAATAAAAACAAAAAATCGCATCTAAAATAGTACGGTAGAAGCCGTTTTCCGGTTAAGACTTAATCCTCTCCCTCTCTCCCTCGCGGGGGAATTTCGAAAAATTCCTTTTTAGTGAGCGTTTTCATGAAGTACCCTAACTGTGTACCAAATTTCATTTCTTTAAGTTGAGCGGTTTGCTCTGGGCGATGATGAATCAGTGAATTGGGCAGTCAGGACAAGCAATTATATATATATATAGATAAATGAGAATAAGTCAAAAGTATTGATTATCAGAAAAATAGAGAGCGAGGAGATAGAGGGAGGTCATACATTAGGCCTATATCTGGAGTGGAGATAAACTTAATGAAAATTTTTATTTCTTATTGGCATTTGCAATATTTTTAAAAGCTTTTTTTTCCTGAACAATTATGTCTTTTTGTAATAATTAGTAACATAAAAATCAGTTGTGAGTAAAGTCCCGTAAGAGATGGAGCCATGCATATTTTAACGTTGAGCAAATGCGTATTAATGTATTTTAAATTTAAGTATTTCTTTTTAAATAGAGATTTTTTATCGTAATTCAACTAAATTAGTTGCTTTAATTTTTTGCTAGCATTTTAATTTTATATCGTTATATAATTGGAAATTACAGAATACAGTAGAACCTCGATTATCCGGACTAATTGGGTGTGAAGGTAGTCCGGATAAGGAAAAATCCGGATAATCGAAACAAATATTTTAATTTGTCTTTTAATGATAATATAACACGTTTTCTTTTCGATGACATATCGGTAATATTAAAAATAAATACAGTATTTAAATCGTGATCAAATTTTCAAGAAACAAACGTTCGTATTGCATTTCGACTACTACTGACCAACGCTTACAGACCTCCTATTGTTTAAAAGGCCTTCTGGTGGCGCAAGAAGACGGATTTTATAAAATAAAAAGCAGTTGAAACTGCATTTTTGTGAATAAAAATTTGACAAACTATTTATCGTTTTATGACGAGTAAAATTTTTTCGTCTCGTTCGCGGCTTTTAAGTAATATAAACCTTCGAGGCGCGAGGCCCATCGGACCGCCAGGCATAGGCGGTGGCCGACGTCGTCCATGCCTTACGTCTCCCTTCAGCATAGAAATAATATAATTTGAATATAAATTATTTATAAATACGTATGTCAAGTTATATTTTTATTACTACGTAAAATATATTTAAGAGTTTACGACCACTGTGCTGGGTGAGACGTTGTTGAAATAAAAAGAGTTATGAATTTTATCACGTACATAAACAGTGTCGTAATTCGCCAAGTGCAAATCAACAAATTCGTAAAATTTTTGTTTATTTTTAACAATCCGGATAATCGAAAATTCGGATAATAGAGGTCCGGATAATCGAGGTTCTACTGTATTTACAGCCATTTTGATTGAAAGTTTCTTAATTTCTTTGTTGTGATTTTGTGATTGATCGAATAAATGATTTTGAAGTAAAAGAATGGCCTTACATACAGAGACAAACAAATGTGTACAATAATCATAAAATTGTCTTTATAATTCAATAGAATTTTAAACATCTGACCGTTTCGGTCTTAAATTTCCTAATTTATTTGCAATTGCAACGAGTCGCTTTATTTTTATTGAAGAATTTATGACTTTGAATGAAGAAAACATTTCTTTAATTACAGAGAAAACCTGTTCAGTTTTATAAACAATTTTATACATTATGTTATTTAGAAATAAAATAATNTTAGAAAATTCCATTCTATCTACAAACGAAATGCTCGCGGAAAGTAATATGATCGAGTGGTGCCGTAGCTTAGTTGGTTAAAGCGCCTGTCTTGTAAACAGGAGATTGCGAGTTCGAATCTCGTCGGTGCCTTAATTTGTTTTGTTGTTTCTATTTGTTTTTTCTATTTCTAACGACTTCGTTGTAACTGGAATGTGGTTGACATAACACTTTAGACAATTTTCGCAAGAAAATTGCATTTTGTAGTTTATTTCAGTAGTCTGATTCCAGATTGTGGCTAAAAGCGTAGTTCCTTACAAACTTCAACACAGTAAAATTATTCTCTGTTCGTAAATACTATTTCAAACCGAAGAGGAAAAGCTCTGTGAATCGATACACAAAGTGATCGCGTTACGGTAATGGTCAATTATAATTGTACGATTTTAACGAAATAACACTACGAACGTATCCAAAGTAAAAGTAATATAGTGACTTTAGGTGTAAGAATGATATTAGCGAGGTTGCGGCCTAAGTTTGCATCTCTAAAACGTGAACGTCAAACGTCGTTTACAAGGTAGCCGCGCTTGACGATCGATGTCAGGTTTTAGGGATAAATAATATTAAGCAACTGTTTCCTTCTCTTTATTACTCGTTTGCATAAATCTGATGATAAAGTAATAATTTTCAGTAAGGAGATCTATATATTTTGCATTATTTACATTNTAGAAAAATTTTTTTTAGTATAGGCCTATATAAAAACATAATAAAAATAACAATAATTAGTAAATTAACAAATCAATAGATAATAAATAAACAAATTGATAAACTCATATGTTAAAGTATAAAAAAATTGTAATTGGGTAAATTCTAACTCTAACACTGCGAAAGTTTAAAGGCAGATAGCCAAAAAACTAGTTCCTATCAAATGGATGCCGTGATTTTATACATTATTTTATTTTTAAATAACATAATCTATAAAATTATTCATAAAACTCAACAGGTTTTCTCTGTAATTAAATGAATATTTTCTTTGTTCAGAGTCATAAATTCTTCAATAAAAATAAAGCGATTCGTTGCAATTGCAAATAAAATANAATCTGATGATAAAGTAATAATTTTCAGTAAGGAGATCTATATATTTTGCATTATTTACATTTATCATTCTTTATGATGTAAGTATTTAAAATTTTTAATGTTTATAAAAAAAGTTTTAACTTTCGTGGCATGATTTGCCAAGTTTCTCGTGTTGGCAAAACTTTTCACCAAATTTTAGGGTTTCTCGACTTTGTAAATGCCAATGTAAACAAATAGAAACAACAAAACAAATTAAGGCACCGACGAGATTCGAACTCGCAATCTCCTGTTTACAAGACAGGCGCTTTAACCAACTAAGCCACGGCACCACTCGATCATATTACTTTCCGCGAGCATTTCGTTTGTAGATAGAATGGAATTTTCTAAATGTTATCATTTCTGTTTAAAGAATCTTTTTATATTATTNGAAAGTTTAAAGGCAGATAGCCAAAAAACTAGTTCCTATCAAATGGATGCCGTGATTTTATACATTATTTTATTTTTAAATAACATAATGTATAAAATTGTTTATAAAACTGAACAGGTTTTCTCTATAATTAAAGAAATGTTTTCTTCGTTCAAAGTCATAAATTCTTGAATAAAAATAGATTCGTTGCAATTGCAAATAAATTAAGAAATTAAGACCGAAACAGTCAGTTCTTAGGAATTCTATTAAAATATAAAGAAAATTTTATGATTATTGTGCACATTTGTTTGTCTTTGTATGTAACGATATTTGTTGATGTTACTTTATACAACTTTATAAATGAACCAAACGAAATAAGCTACTATTGCCATAGTATCAATGTTTCTGTTCTTAACCCTGGGCTAGTGCAGTGGGGTGTTTCGCCACCCCAACATTTTAAAAGTTGCACTATTCATAGATTTCGCAAGAAATATTTGTGTCCTCTTCAGTAGCTTCATGATTTTATGTATAGAGCATGCTCAGAAATTACTACGATGCTGCAGAAATTCCAGTAAGAGAAAAACAAGAGTTTTCAGTGGGGTGTCCTAACACCCCACAGTATTAATTACGTTTTTTTAAAATTTTACAAATATTTATATAGTTTTTTTTATTGTAAAAATAACTATAATGTGACCACATTTATTATTTATAATATAGATATAATAATCAATGTGAATAAAAATAATTTAAGTTTATTTTAATTCAAAATGGCTGACTTTCATAAACACATTGAGAAAATACCA